AAAAAAAAAAAAAAAAAAGAAAAGAAAAGAAAAAGAAAAACGAATTAAAAAACACAATCAAAAACAGTACAAGGACTGATTGAGGAGATGGGATATGAAATTTAGAGAGGATTTGAGGGGATGGAAAATCTGAAGAGGTAGAATTACACTCACATCCCACACACATTATTTTTCTGTTAAAAAATGGAAAGGGGTTGCACAGTTTTGTTATTGGAATAATATAGCAGTTTTGATGTTGTGGTCCTATTTTAATATTATGATGCCAAGATTTCCCACCTTGGCTCTGAAATACCTTTTTATCTTCTTTTTTAAATTTCAGGTTAATGTGAGGGTACAAACAACCAAATCACAATATTTGAATTTGTTAGGTAGAGTCCCTCTTGTGGCGATGTCCTGAACCCAAAGGTGCCATACGCTCCTACATTGTGCTCATTCCGTGGGAACATCCCAAACTTCTTCTTCCCTTCTCTCCCCAACTTAAGTTGAAATGAGTTTTTCTCCTAAGTGGAGGTGAATTAGATGGTCTGAAGTACCTTCCTAGGCTGTTTAAACTCTCAGAGCTCAGGTGGCACCTGTGGCTCAGTGAGTAGGGCGCTGGCCTCATATACCGAGGGTGGCGGGTTTGAACCCAGCCCCCGCCAAACTGCAACAAAAAATAGCCGGGCATTGTGGCAGGCACCTGTAGTCCCAGCTACTCTGGAGACTGAGGTAAGAGAATCACCTAAGCCCAAGAGCTGGAGGTTGCGGTGAGCTGTGACCCCACAGCACCCTACTGAGGGTGACAGAGTGAGACTCTGTCTTTAAATAAATAAACTCTCAGAGATCTAGACAGTGACGCAATGACCCTGAGCAGTAAGGATGGAAAATAAATAGTAACGAGGAAGCTGGGCTCATTTATAGCTGGCACCCACAACATCCCTGTGACAGAAAAGGAGGGAGAATTTAAATTGATGTGTTTGCCAGAGAAGCGGAAGCTAAGAGTCAAAGTACAAAGCTATAAATTTATCTGGAAAAACAATACGTCTATATTGTAGATGTGAATGTGAAGAAGGCTGGTGAGAATTCTTGGGAAAAAATTAGAAAGAAAGGTGCTAGGGCAGGTTGCTACATGAACAAACGTGAAACTAGCAGGAATGGTAATTGACGCGGGAGGTTTGGTTTTCTCATGAAGAAATGGAAGCAGTCAGATCACCAGGTGTTCTGGTGTTGATTTTGTGTCTCCTTGCTGTGTAAGCAGACTCCTAGGGTGTGTGGTGCTGCTGGTGGGGACTTCCTGTCTGCAAAGAAACTGGAGGCTTAAAAAAATTAAAAGGTCATGTATTTGCTCTTGAAAGGATGATTAGGAATGACATAAAAGTTCTACAGATAAATGCTTTTGAATTTGACATTAGAAAGGGAAGAAGAAGAGATGATAGCAGTTGAAATGCAAGTTTCAAATTCCTTCTGTTCACCTTGATGGGTTCCTGGAAATGGTATGCTGAGATAAAGAGAAAAAAAAATCCAAATCAGAACGTGTAAAAAGCATGGTGAGGAAGATTTCTGAGAGGGCCAAGGATCTAAAAGGGAAGCTCAGGAAAATAGCCGGGTGTTGTGGCAGGCGCCTGTAGTCCCAGCTACTTGGGAGGCTGAGGCAATCACTTGTTAGGTAGAGTCACTTAAGAGAATCACTTAAGCCCAAGAGTTTGAGGTTGCTGTGATGCCACCGTACTCTACTGAGGGCCACATGGCGAAACTCTGTCTCAAAAACAAATAAATGAATAGAATAAAATAAAGTGGAAGCTCAGGAAAGTTAGATCCAGGAAAGTATAAAATTATGGAGGCCTGATTACAGGATAGTTTGAGTTCATCAGACTACACTCCCACTGTTGTTTACGTATTTAATACATATCTGAATGTAAGGCAGACAACAAACAAGACATATGTACTTAACACAGAAGTTATTGGGCCTGACGGTAAAAGCTTTTAGGTGATCATGA